GGAAATATTTAAAAGGCAGAATAGATTTCTCTAAAGGATTTTAAAAGCAGAAACCAACCTCGCCCCCAAGTCTCTCTGTCCCAAACAGAAACCAAGTCTGTAGAATTGCAGATGTGATAATCTTGTCAGAAAGACTGGAGCCAGGAAACTGGGATTAGGAAGAAAGATCCCTAGAATCAACAATCCCTCACACCAAAAATCTAAGAGTCATCAGCCACAGCCCCAGGGAACCATGGCTTGCCTTGCTGCCATAGAACTGAGCCCTGAATAGGCTGCTTGCTGGAGGAAGAGGAACGCTGCTGTGGGTTGGGTGCTCATGCTCATTGCTCCGCGTGGTGGTTAGGTGGGCAGGGGGCGGGTCTGTGTGGGGCGCGATATCCATCTATTTAGAGCGCTGGAAGGCAGTAGCTCCCAGCACTGACTTTGTTTTTGCGATTGTTGGTTAACGCTTCGTAAGCCAAAGTGTGCCTTTATTTTCCCAGCCTTAGTAAACCAGGTTTTCCTTGATCCCAAAGTGGGTTTGGGACCTTTGACATCATAAATAAAAAAAGAATAAATGAGAAAAACTACTAATCAGATTTCAAGAATTTACAGGCAAAAGTACTAAAAGGAATTACATTAAGAAGAAATTACTATACTTTATCATATGCTAGCGCACTTTTACTTTTCAGCAGGTACCTTTAAGGCTATATCATATGTGGCACTGCTCCACAATTCTTTTTCTAGCGTTAACTGATGAATCTGAGCCTCCAGTCTTGCCCTCTGCAGTTCGTACAGCTCACGATATTCATCTAAAAGACTAAAGGACATGAGAAAGTGATATAAAACTCACTCCACAATTCACCTCATTAATGTTCCATTTATTATTTACAGAATATTCATAACAATTATTTTTATGTAATCTGAGAATAATAAATAATTTTACTGAACTTGTGTTCCACCTCACTCTTAATGACTCTGAGGGTTTCAGAACAATCAAAACATAGAAATTACAATAAAACTAATAAATGGCAATATGTTAAAAAAAAAGATGGCTAGAATGACAGACCAGATTTAAAACCTGATCAGATCATGAAGTAAAAGACAGAAACAATGAATATAATCAAAATCATTATTTGCTGCATTTACAATCATTATTTGCTAAATAATGAGTTTTAGTCAGATTTTCACAATTCTGGAAGAATCATCTAATTGAGAGACATCCATGAAAAGATTTGTATTTACTTTCACAAATCAGAACCAGAAAAAGTCTGAAGACTGAAACAAGAGCTGCATTGGCCAAGTAAGTATACATTTTACTCATGCTGTATTATATAAAGAAATCAAACATTTCTAAGCCTTTCCCAAGAACTGACTGGATGTTAGCTTAGGAATCCTTAGTATTAGTTGTAGAAGTGTAGCCTTGACACCAAGAGGGGCCACTGAAGAAGTTTGAAAACAGTTACTGATCTTTCAAAGTCCACTTTTTATTGCTCTTGCACAATTTGCACAGATTTCTGAATGTTTTCCAATTATATTATCCCACTCTTCACTCAGAAATACTGTTCCCCAGTCTCAAATTCTACAGTGATTAACATTGCCATCAACATAATAAGAGACTCACTTCGCATTCATCTCTGACTCCTTTACTGCTTTTGCCAGGTCCTTGTAGGCTTTTTCGGCTTCCAAGGTGGTTCTATGGTCATGTTCTCGGATAGTATTTAGTTCCCTGTAGTAAGGGCAGATATATTCAGAGACTTTCAACAATCACAGTTTTTGTTCACAAAATGAAACCGAAGCAATGATCCAGATCTAGACCTTGTCAGCTGTCCTATAGCTTGCTTGAAATGGAATAACTCATCAGTAATGTGTTTATCCATTACTCTCTGTGCCATCATTTCTTTGTAGAGATTCCTCATCTGTCTAGGAATTCGTTCTAGCAATTCCACATATCTTTGTCTGTAAGAAACAAGTAAAAGGAGAAAAATATCTACTTTTCTTGATCATATTTGCATATAATTTAAAAGCAGGCTTATTTTTACAAAGACTGGGAAATTACTAATAGAGAAGGAACATTTGTACATAAAACTAGACAGAACTAGGTTATTAAAAAATCAAGAGAACTATAGATGATACAATGGAACTCATGTATCTTTTATGACATTCCTCCCCATTGATAACTAGAAAGGGTATAGTTGTAGGCTTTACCTTACACACTTCAGAATTAATCCTATACCAATAATCAGAAGACTTATAAAGCTGTCATATTTGGCTGTGAATAATTTTAAGATTTTGGATTATATACCTCCATACCTGAGTTTAGAGAGGAGCTCTCCTCGCTCTGCACAATCCACGCTGACTTGTCGAATGATTTCATGAAACACAATATTGTAGATGTTCTGTTCCACCTTTATCACCTCCAGGACATTGTGCATCTTGGGAAAGATATGTGGAAACCATGAAGATTTTTGCAGAACTAGGTATAAAATGAGTATCTACCCTTTAAATGGGTTAGGACAGACATGTCAAACTCGCAACGTCACATGACGTCGTGCGACATATTGGAACTTTTTCCCCATTGCCGGCAATGGGGTGGGCATGGTTTCGTCGTGACGCATCCGACCCACGGGCCGGCAGTTTGACACCCCTGGGTTAGGAGAAAGAAAATAAAAACTTTGAAATATATTTAACATGTTAATATCATTTTTATTCTAGTTGGATGATTGTTGAATTATTCAAAGAAGAGATCCTACTGATAGTGCCACTCTCAACTATTCAATGTTATGGCTGAATAGTCAGAATATCCCAAAGAACTACATCTGAAATTTTTTAAAAGAGATTTTGACCTTTAATTTTAATGAAGGGCATTGCATACTGTACTTTGGGTAAAACTCAGCTGATTGTTTCTCAATTCCCCATTCCTCCAGGGACAAAGAGAAATACAGACCAACCAGAGTCTGCATTAGTCAGTGCATTGGATTTAACTATATCCATCAAGAAAAAAATATTGCAGAGAGGAGAAAATTGGAACAAAAGGAAGTCATCGCCCATAATTTTATTTAAAAAATGCTAAGATAGTTGTTCTCCCAAACACAGCATACATTAACATGTTATCTTTTCATCTAATAACATTCTTTGATTTTTCTGTTAAAACCAGCAATCAGAAGAGCAATCTTCATTAACCTAATGAATTCCCAAAATATGATTAATTGCAGAAAAAAATATAGGGACACGTTATTTAGATATTGTTATTTAATCATGCTGCTAATTTAAAATGATAATCAGATATGGACAATACAGATTTATGCATAGCTAAATATAATTCAGCACCAATGAACACTTGTCTGGGACTACAAAACAATTATGGAGGTCAGTTTCCTTTGCTTAAGGAGTTAGAATTTTAGTTTTCTTTAGATAAGGGGTCAGGCCTCTTACATATCAAAAACTCTTGACAATCTTTGGCATTTATTATTAATAGTTTATTCCATTTTTCTATTAAAATATATGAAATGCAATGTATCATCACCATTATAAATTCATAATTGAACAATGCAATGAGATATGGCATATCAAACTAATACTGCAAGATTAGGATTTTCCCTTTAAAAGTTGACCTACTAACACAACCTATTTAAGTACAGAACACCTGCTCTACCATTATTTGCAGATTTCCTTCTGGCCTAGATAAACTTTTATACTAATCACATAAAAAGAAAGAAAAAGTTTATACAGGTGGTCCTTGACTTACAATCACAAGAGGGACCAAAAATTCATTGTTAAGTGGCACGGTCATTAAGTGAGGCAACACATGACTGCACCCAGTTTCACAATCTTTTTTGCTACAGCTTCTAAGTAAGACACCAAATTACTCCAACTTGCAATTTTCCCCGATGTCTTCCCTATTGCATAATTGTAGCAAGCAGGATGGGAAAGTCACAAATGGCGATCATGTGACCATGGCATGCTGTTCCTTCATAAATATGTGATGGTTTCCAAATGACCAAGCCAAGTGACCACGGGGTCACTGCGATGATCGTAAATGTGAGGACCGGTCATAAGTCACATTTTCAGTGTGGTTGTAATTTCAAACAGTTGCTTAATGAATGGTCACAAGTCTAACTACAGCTGCAGAAGTATCAGGAAAATTATTACCTGCGAAAGCCCTGCTACACCAACATTCTCATCATTTGTTCCAGCCTTTTCCAGCAGAGTATCCATCACTTTCATCAGCTGGAGAACTTCCAGCCTCCCAGCGGGCTTCCTAACAAAGCAGAGGAGAAGAAATTGCCCAATAATTTTTATATCACACAAAACTGAAGAATTTTGAATGTAAGTACAGTACATAAGTGCTACTTACATAGATGGAAAAACCCGCAGCCTGTTTTCCTCATCTTCAAGCAGAGTTGTATATTTACTGCAGGAAGTAAAAATCAGTGAAACTGCTTGATTAAGGTTTTTATTGCAGGATTAATAACATGTTTATTTTAAATATTTTTGATACTATATAACTAGAACATTATGTTAAATGAGGTTGAATGCATTTGTAGTGCAATTTGTCCCAGACCTATATTAAAAACCCAGCCATTTGCAAGGAGGCTAGTACAGAACTAAGAACATATGTCCATGCAAAAAAAATCATTCTTTTTCCTATATTTTGAAAGTAGTATGATAATATTCTCCAGGATATCAAAAATGAACTGAAAGCAAAACAAAAATAATGAAATAACAGAATAAGAGAGTCAGAAGGGACCTTGGAGGTCTTCTAGTCCAACCTCTGCTCAGGCAGGATATCCTATATCATTTCAGACAAATGGTTGTCCAATCTCTTCTTTAAAACCTCCAGTGATGGAGCACCCACAACTTCTGGAGGCAGGTTGTTCCACACTGATTAATTGTTCTGTCAGGAAATTTCTCCTTATTTCTAGGTTGCTTGTCTCCTTGATTAGTTTCCATCCGTTGCTTCTGGATGATAGTATACTTTTAATGACATGTAAAAAGTTAAAACAATCAAATTCTATAATAAGCAGCTAAATGCAAGTGCCCTTTGGAGGGGTTTGTATTGAGAAGAATGAAAGCCTGTAACATGTAGTCATAAGTGACTTGCATAAATGTACAATAAATATACTTGTTAACTTACATAAATTGAGAAATACAGCCAAATAAGGCCTTACTGCACCTTATGATAGCTGAGGTCTAATTTAATATGAAAGGGTTATTTGGGAAAGGAATGCTGAAAACTTTCTGTCTTACTTCTCCAAATATATCTTTATCCCAGGATATATACAAAAATAAGACTTAAAATAAATGCAACATGTGTTTTGGGGGAAAAAAATCCAAGCATCTCTCCGAATCTTGTGTCCCTGTCACTGTTCATGAATACACCTCACCCATTCTGCATCATTGCTTTGGTCACTGCAGGCGTGGGTTTTCCAGCCACTAAAATGTTGCCCATCTGTGGGCTAATTTACACCAATTTCATTATACTGTCTAACCATTAATGAAGGATTCAATTTTATTTTCAAGTTCTGAATGACTTTGGAAACTGTGGATATAGCAACCCATGAATTAGATAGCAAAGAGGTTTGAGCAAAGCCAGTAATTAACCACGTATTTTTGCCTAGCTTCAGATGCTCTTGATTTTATCCCACTAGGTACAAAAGCATATAATAGTACTCACTCATCATAATATTCCAAACCCAGGACACCTCTGTTCTTTACAATATGAAATTCCTCTGGAACAAGGGTGTCTGCTACATTTGCTCTCTAAAAACAGAACAAATTAAAAGAGTTTACATGAGGCAGACAATAAACGTTCACAAGCTTCCCCAAAGATAGTATTGATTTTTATAGATGTGCATAAAAATGCTTCCTGTCATTTTTAGTGTGTTACTTACTTACATTTTCAAACTTATGGGGGAAAAACAACTTTTTTGTAAAAGTATATACCAGGAGACATTAGTGAAATCTGACTGTGTGTCTTCTTACAGGGAACCAGCTTGGGAAAGCAGGGAAACTGCCTTAATGGCAGTTTATTTAATCCAGATTTTTTTTAAATCAATTGATAAATCTTGTCTACCTGAAATCATGGTTTTTCACTAACAAACAAGCACTCTGCTTGCCAGCATGGGGTAATAGACTATGTGTAGGAAAACCCAGCCAGTCTGTCCTCAGCCACAGAAGTTCACTGGGTGAGTCTGAGTCATTCCATCTTTCTCAGCCTACCCTACTTCATATACAATTATTGTTCTGGGGAAAAATAGGAAGAAGGACTGACACGTATGGCATCTTGAGCTCCTGAATGAAAAGTGAGATATACATTTAATAAATAAACATTAGTGCTGATGGTACCAGCTTGTTGTTTGATTTGGGTCTCTAAATAAACAGTGAATATAACAATCTCTATTCTGCCCTGGCCATTGCATCATTGTTAGGATATTCAGTATTATTTAACTAGGTTTAAGAAATATAATTTATGTTTTAAGTACTGTCTCCACATTAAGTCACTAAGCCTGACTTAGAAAAATTAGCTGGTAAATATTTTTGTCTTACGTTTTTATTCTGCAAAAAAAACAAAAACAAAAACCCAAGAACCTAAAGTTATTTGAAGTCCAAATGGCATTTTATAATTTTAAGAGAATGTGACTAGAGATAGAAACCTGACTAAATGCAGATATGAAAAAAAAAAAGTAGTGCTTATGACAACCTGCCCTGCTGTTTCAAGTACATGCTCTCCTGGTCCTGTAAATGCTTAGTGCTCAGTCCAAATTCTGTCATACCTCTCAGAGTTCTGAGAGTTGTGAAATGTTGTCAGATCTTAACCCTGTGCTTAATACTATCAATGTTTTGGCAAAGAGGCAGACTCACAGGCTTAGCTGCATTTGCGTCCTGCTTCAAACTTTTATGAGGTACAGCACCTGAGGAAGGACCCCTTGCTCCTTTTTGAGAGATGATATCATACAGAAAAGAGACATCCCTTAACAAACAGAATGAAAACAACAGTTTAATTGGGAAACTGCTACAGAACTCACTGAACGACTCTTTCTCCTCCAAAACTGAGAAGAGTACTAACATACAATCATCTAACCACACAGTCTGCAAATACCATGCTAATTTCCAGGTATTCTCCGTCAAAATGTTTGCCTGCTAGCCAACCTGTCTGTTAATAAGTCCCCATTCCACCTAAAGTAGCTTTATTGTAACAATGTTTGCCCAAAACGTTTTCTTGCCTTCTTACACCTTTCGGAATGAACTGTTAATTATCTCCCATTATTTTCATCTTTATTTGCCCATTATCTCAGATGTTCAGCTCTCTATTTTCCTATTCTCGCTTGAAAACTTCATCATTTCATGGTCTCAAACACTTTGACTAGATATGCACAGTACATTATGCAACTATTAGATTTGCATAGTATATTAAAATATGGTTAACAGCAATATGTGGTGCAAGCCCAGATAATGTAGCTTTTGCTTTAATGATACCACTGAATCCATTCTGCAGATTTGCCTCCCTTATTTATATTAGTACATGCTCTGTAGTTTTTTCAGCATTCTCAATGCTACGGAAGTTTTATAAAGGGACAGCTAATATGTCAATAACCATTATTTGAAGGTTTTCTAGTGTTCTATCTTATTACCTTCCAGCTCCAGTCAAGCAGATAGGATGCTGTATCAGGTATCGAAATTTATTTCTACGAATAGGATGTTGCCAGACTCCATCAGCTGTACGGATGCAACCCTGAAGAAGAGAAGATTAATTCATACTTTAAAAGTTCTGGGTAGTCCTAGGGTACCCATGATATTTTAAGCCTCTAATACCATAATTGAACTACACACAACATAAAGAGGCACACTGGTGTGCTTCAGTCATAAATAATTCTATTCAGGCTTTATAACATTGGAAGTTCACTAAATCAGTACCACTTTTAATCCCTGCTTCTTTCTCACTGATGCCTCTCAATGATATCAGCCTCCTATAGATATGCACAGCACATATTTATCATGCATTTGGTACATTTGTATGTTCTTAATAGGATTTTTATTTGTCAGCTGTAGAAGAGTGTTCAACTAGATAAAGGCTGGAACTTATAGAAAACAGTGTATACATAGCCTTACATGCAGAGTTCTCCTCTCTGAAGATATCCACATAACCAAAGGCAGACTGTGTGGAAGTCTGCAGGAAATTAACATTACCTAAACTATCATGGTTTAAATGGGACTTACTAGGAATACTAACAGGTTAAGCATACTTGATCTCATGCTGCTGACGAGGGCTACAATACAGCTTATCTGTTTTTTGGCTCTGTGTAGTGTTAAGAACCCCTCCACTACAACTTTTTCTACAAATCATGATCTAAAAATTCTAGTTTAATTTGCTATGGCCAAAATGAAAGTCTGTTGTTTCTTCCACTCATTTCTCACATGTCACTTTGCATTTATTATGCTTAGTGGTCTTTTATCCTGCAATCCTACTTCCAGTCTGGGAAGAGACAGAAAATATCTAGGTCTCCTCTTGTGGCTAAGACGGAGAAGGGAATACATGTATCTCTAATAGCTACCCTGGGTTGCCTGTGCTAATACAAGCCTGCCAAGACCCAATGGTTGGTATTATTCAGAACTACAGCAGACCATTAACCAGGTGCTGTGTAGATTTCATATTCAAGCAGCAAATATTCTACTAGTGAAAATGAACTTGCAGACCTGAAAGTCAAAACTTTTTGTTTTCTTGGGTGGTCTTAAAAAAGGAGGGTATTGGACTGGATTGGCAGCAGAAGTCAGAGCAACAAATATCTCTTCTGGGATGAAATCATGTTGCAAGGGTTTTGAATGAAGTTTGGAGTGAACTTCCACACTTGGTTTGTTTCTTAACTCGGGGAATTCTAGAAAGAACAGGAGAGACATAGAAACACTCTGTTTATAATTTGCTGAAGATTTCCTTTTCCCCATCTAAAGTATAATTGCTATTGTTTTTTCTCTTATACAGGCACACATCTACTCACACAGGCAGGCAATTCAATCTTTGGCTGGGAGCTCTTTGAAACCTTATTCAGTCCTTAAAAGCTGTAAGCAGAACTACCGGTATTGGAAAGAAAGTACAAGGAGGAGGGGCAAAAGCAAGGATGGGAGAAGGCCACCCAGAAGTGCACTAGGAATATGAGTTGGGAATAATACTATGAGATACTGTAGATTCTAAGGCACCGGGTATCACTTTGTCAGTTTCCCATTCTTTTCAGCAAGAACCAGGTGGTGTGCATAACTGGATATGTGGTGTTTCCCCTCAGTTACCATACATTGAGATGGCCATGCTAAGAAAAGACCTAACAGGTTTCATGTATTATTCTATTTGCACAAAAATTATACTGATACAGCTAAATGCAGGAAGGGGAAAGTAGAAATAAGAGGAAAAAAGACGTCAAGATCCAAACGCACACAAGCAGATGCGACGCAATTAGGGAAAATACGATCGATGAGGGTGGGTAGACTGGTTACGCGCTCGATGAGCAGAGCGCTAAAATAGCCGGCTTTATAAGCAGACTCTCCAACCTCCGGCTTTCACTCTGATGATGTCAGCAGGGGACCGATGAAAACCTAGCAATAAACAGTTGTTTTTTATACCTATCCTGGAGTTCGATGATTTTTACACTTTATATATATATATGATATTTTGGAGAGGAAAATTACGTTTTTTATTCTATTTTTCTATGGATAGCTAGTGCAATGTACCCCACATTTTGTGAAATGGTGGGCCCAATTATACAACTACTATATAAATAAGATTGAAAGCATACATTGAATGTTATATATTATCCCAGCATGGGTTAAAACATAGGAAATTTCAATATTTAGATTTCCAAGAAAATCTAAAACACAGAAAAGACCGGAAAAGATAATTTTGAAAAAATTCATATCTGATTAAAACAGAAATAAGCAAGGAATTAATCTGTGATAGTGGATAGTTAAAGATCGAATGCTTTCCAAGTTTAACAATTTATAATAAAAGAAATATCCTATTTCTTTGTTGTCTGTGATTCTGATCCCCCCGCCCAAAGTTGTACTTCTGCTATGGAGATTACGTATACTCAAGCATTCAGTATTTTGTCAGTAGATAAATCTACTTCTCCCCCTCTAAGAAAGAAAAAGATGTCTGCAGTGCCACCAACAAAAATAAAAACTAAGGCTGTCCAGACATGGTAAGAGCTCAGGTTCAAGTCTACACCATAGTGGCAAAAGGGCAATGCTTCACTCTTGCAATTTGCCATCCTATTTTAAGGTCACATGGTTCCTATTGTGGAAGGATAGACTGGAACAGCAATTACTGGGGTACTGCAAGCAATGGGCAGGGCATTTGGAAGGTATTATTGTTGAATTATGAGATTATGAGATTCACTAGAGGTTAGATGTCAACTGGACAAGTCCAGTCTGTACAGGTGAATGAGGTCTTATCTTGTGAGGTTACCTGAGATGTTTGTGAAGCCTGAGGAGGAACACGAAGTTCTACATGATAGTGTGTTAGCTCCAAGTGAGCTGGATTCTACATTGGCACCACAAAGGCAATGAATAGTAGAGACAGACACCCTTTTTCCCTTAGCACAAACAGATAGCTATAGCTGGTATTTAGCCAGCTGAGATAATTTGTATATGCACTGCACATTTCTCCACATCTATGCTGAGAGGCACAATAAACTGCAGATTGTATGGTTAATTATTCTTGCTTGCCTCTTAACAATTAAATAAAGAAATCATGTATTTATTTTGGTCAGTGACCAGATAAAGCAAACATAGACAAACAAAATTCAACTATCCATGCAAATATCATGGATTTGAACATAATAATCTCTAAAAGAGGAAATGAATGTTCAAAACACATAGTGCAGTAGAGTCAACATGTATGAAATATACTATGGATTTTAGTGATCTAAAAAATAAATATTTATTAGAATAAAGTATTAGAAAAGTGGCAGTTGATAATTCATTTATACATACCGGTAGCACGTATGAGGCTATCAGTTGTGTGGGGTAGTGATCAGTTGTTTGCACACATTTACAACAGTTATACAGAACTTTGCTACATTATGAATATAACTTTTCTTATCTGATAATGGAATGAACATGAATTCTTCCAAATAACAAAGGGAAGATGAGTCTTCTTTGAATTTCATTATAAAGGAACACTGGAGCAACACATGAAGGATAGATTCAACCTGAATTGTCACTACAACAGCAAGTTATGGTTGGTTGGTTAAATCTCTCATATAAAAATATTAAAAGTAAACAATTATGTCTTCCCCTTAAGAAGAATCTTTGTTGAACAGGAGAGATGATTGATTAATGCAATTAGTTGCTTTCCAGTAGACTGGCTGAGTTGAATTTGGATGGAGATTGAGATGAGATTTCCCTTGTTTTGAAATTCAATGTCTAAAGCCTTTCTCTAATAACCATCTTGGTCTGAATAAATTCAAGAAAATATAAGGAATCAATGCCACATAATACAGTAAGGTTTTTAATACATTGTTTGAATCCAGGAAGATTGGGATTAATCAGAGAGGTGTGGCGGAATCAACCCAAATAGGAAATAATGTCATTTAAGTCAATAATTAAAGATTAATAATCAAGTTTTGACTTCAGTCCTCACTTGGCAAGTTTCTACCCTTAGGGTTATATTAGATATGCATTTTGGGAGTCTGGGAAACTACTTTGAAATTTTGGTTTGTACATTAACCTATAATTTAGGTACGGATTAAGATACAAAGATACTCTCACTCTTGGCTGGAACATTCTGCAAAGAAATGAAGGATTATGGTTGCCTATAAGAACAATGTTTTTATAAACAAGGGGTCACTTAACTGGGTTCCCAAGTATTTTCCACCTACCTCATCATATCTGTCTACTGGAGACCTAAAAACTCACCTAAACTATTTGTTTGATTATTTATTTCATTAGATTTAGGTGTCACAAATTCCAAAACAATTCTGGGTGACTATATCAACAAACAACAACAGAATAAATGAAAAACACAATGCAATATCAATAACCAAGATGGCATCTGCCAACTCAATACAGAACATGTAGTCTTCTCTAACAACCCTGTCCATCTTAACCAAGGCATGAGAGAGCAGCTAAATTTTCAAGGTCTTTTGGAGCCCCATAATGATGGCAGCCACATGGATCATGAATGGGTAGAAAAGATGTGACCACCTGGGTTATTAGATAAAAATTGTTTAATGAAAGGAATCTGGAGTGTTCCAACTGTGCCAGCTTATATCAGACAGGTGGAACCATGGGAGATAGGTAGATAGGCAGGAACAATCATGGACTAATCTAAGACTGGAACTAAGGGCTTTGGGATTGGAAACAGCGGTGAAGTATTTGCTTTTCAAAATTCCTACTTTAAATAGGTTCTCTGTTTAAGTGGCAACCCAAATGCCTGACTGCTTTACAATAGTGAACGGCAGAATGGAAGGATTGGAATAGATCTCAGAGATCATGTAGTAGTCCAACATCCTATTGAGCACAAGAATCTACTACTATAGCACATCTAGCAGGGATCATGCAGTCTCTGTTCCTCCAGAGGAAAGTCTTTCACCTCCCAAAGTAGTATGCTCCTCTCCTAAAAGACTCCTACTGTTAGGAATGTTTTCTTACTGTTTGGCTTATTCAGGGCAAGTAGAACTTTGCAGAGAAGATAATTAGCAAATAATCAATTGTCTCGATTTCTAACAGCCATTTTATTTATTTAAATTTATATGACCACCTATCTTACAACAGTGATTCTGAGCTTTGTAAAAGGATTAAAACAACAGCTATAAGCAATAACTTATGGTACTTGAAATAAATAATACATTCCAATCATAAAAAAACAAATCAGCAGCAGAGCAAATGTAGTGTATCAAATAATAAAAAATGGCATTAAATGATACTTATGAGATTTACCTTTACTGCTGTCACTAATAAGTACTAAAGAGTCAATATCTTTGACTTGTTTGCTCTCTTGTTTTGAAGTAGAAGGCAATGCTGGAACTTGCTCCCTCTGATCAGACATGATAAAACATTGATTTGGGGTGGTTTTCTCATCAAGAGACTTGTTTGCAAAAGCAAGTTATCTACAAGATATATAGATAAAATAAGAATAGATGGTATGACTGAAAATTATAGTATTCAGCTTCAAATTCTGTACTTAAGGATTCAGTCTACAGTATCTATACACACAGAGAGCATGCATTTTACATTAAGGCCCATGGGGTAAGTTTACAAAATAAACTTAGTTATCATTTGTGGTTAGAAAGGAATTATCTACATGTTGTCAACATGTTATCTCCCATATGTGGCAGATAATAACCCAAAATTCTAGGATAGTTGCCTAGACTAGGAAATTGGAAAAAAAATCTTGGAAGATGGCAAAAAAACCAACAACTCTATTTTCTTAATGCTGCCATGTTTATAAATAGCAGGAATTAAACACCTTGAAGTTATAGAAGCCTACTATAAGTCTATAAAACTTCCTCTTATGAAGCATTAGTAAAACCTTCTCTGTTCCAATGGGGCAGATCCAGTATATTTAGGCTGTTGCACAAACCTAATACCTATTAGAATAAATTAGCCCTAATTAAAGGGATTTTTTATTAGGAATACTATCTCTACCTATCTGCAGTAATTATTTTTGGGCATTTGACAAACAGCAATAGTCGCAGATGTAGAACTTTATTTACCGAGTGACTATCAATTGATCTAACTTAGGAAATAACCTTAGTTAATACGTATGCCACCATTTTACTCTCCATCATGAATGTATTCTTAAATTATGTTTCTGGTTTGAACCCAAAGCAATTTTCAGTTTGGGTTTCTGGAAATAACACTCAAAATTTTTACGAATCTGAGAACCAATCTGAACATCCAAACCCGACAATATAGGAGACCAAATAGTGAGCACACCTGCTAGGTAAGGGAGTCAGACAAATGGACACAATAACTGAGTGAACAGACTTAGCTTTTTTTAAAAAAAATTATATATAGTGTGTTAATACATGGTGCATCTCAACACTTCACAGCTACACAAATTGACTTTCGTGCATTTGAAATCTAATCTATATAATATTGCTTTGAAATCATCTGTCATATCACACTTGAAGTGTAATATTAATCGCCTCATTAATCCAATGCAAACCATTGGATATCTTCCATGTTATCTCAATAGCTTTGAAATGCCATTGCTTTTAACCAGGGCTTTTTTTGTCATAGAATGCCCAGAATGGAGTTCCAGCACCTTTTTGGGATGGAACCTTGTAGGGTAGGCAAGGCGGGTTGTATAACATGTGTGATACATGTCAAAAAAAGCACTGCTTTTAACGAAGGGAGTAGCCAATAACAATTTAACCATCTGGCCGTTTTCAAAAAGCCAAAACTGGAACCATTCAAGGAGCCATTTTATGAATTATCAGAAAACTACTGCAGCACGTATTTCCCTCCTTCCCTCCAAGACTGAACATTATCCACAACTCTGTCCCAAATAAGCAATGAGCTTCCAAGCGACTGCTCCATGAGGACTAGAGGCCTCAGCGCGAGACTAGTCATCGTGGCCTCAATCTCGAAGGGCAAAACCGCAATACCACGCAACAGAAGCCTTCAGCCATTTGGCAGCGGGCTGAGGGAAGACAAAGCAGCTCGAGTCATTTCTTTACCTACTTCTTCCGGCTTCCGGACGGCCGCTGTTGCTATGGGAACCTAGGACGCTTTTATGCGTGGCCCTTCGCGAAGCCAAAAAACGCCCTGCCCGCACTTGGAAGCCAATCTTTCTCGATTGGTGCTTGCTTCATTCAGTTCTCGATTACTTAGAGAAAGTCGCTTTGCTTGTTTGATTCCTGTAAGGCGCCTTAGAAATACAGCGAGCACCAGGAACAAGGAGCGGCAGGAACTAGTGCTAAGTGTACTTAATGGCGCCGATTTGAGAACTTCTACAAGGATCTAAATCCAGAAACGTCAAACGCATTGTTGCGTTTACAGTAGTGTCTTCGAGGTTCCGCATAGAATACTTGTATGCATTTTGATGTTCCAAGGCTTGACTTCATAGTTGTCATTGAAATCAATGGAGGTGTGGAGTTCTTGGTACTCTCTGAGCTTGTTTGCTTGCACACGGTTCATTACCCAACTAGGTAAATCATTGGGGCAACAGACACTGATGATGTTAGATAGTTGGGTAATTGTCTATAATCAGTCAAGCCCAGAGAGCAATCAAGAAGCCTTCTGTTCAATCTATAGATATTCTCTTCTATTGAGATCAATTGAGGTGTTGTATAACTTAATATAGCTGGGCTTGAACAGTTAACTTCCAAATTAAATAGGAGAACCACAACATAAGCATCTATTGAAGTACTCAGATCCTGGTGATTACTTGACACAGTCCTGTGAGACTGCATGGTATGAAAGTGGTTTAATATTATCTTCCTGGTTTAGGCTACAAGTCTGGAATCTCCCAACTGTCTCTCGAAGTACTAATCCAATCAACCTTAGCCTCAGAAAAGTTCAGCTGAGTGTTCCTTCTGCATGTGTGCAACCTAACACAGGATAAAATCAAGCGACTTGCTGAAAACCAAAAGATGTTTTATAAGGAGGATTTATAGTAATACACATATTTACCTAATTGGATAATCCCAATTATTAAATAATTTACCTAATTTGATTTGTCCTTGTTTTTATTCTAGATGTGAACATTTTTTATTAAAGAGATTCACAATACCAATTAAACTCCACATATCATATCACCAGGCACTGCAGGAGAAAAAAAAATTGTAAGAATGGCCATAAGGGCCACTAGCCAGATAGTTTTATTGAAGATGCCAATTTTGACTTTGCAAATAAATGTTAGAAATAGAGTTAATGCCACCTACTTTTTAGCACATTTTTGGTGATCACATACTTTGCAGCTTGCATGAAATATGTCAGAATGAAGTATGTTGGATTA